AAAGGACAGAGGAGGAGAGAGAGAGGGGAGGAAAAAGAGAGAGAGAGAGAAAGGGAGAGAGAGATATTCCTCTTCCATTATTGGTTTATCCCCCCATACAACCTCAGTGGGTGAGACTAGGTCCAGTTTAAGCTTAGAGCTGGGAACTATACCCAGATCTCTCATAAGAGTGGCAGGGTTCCAAACAATTGGGCCACCTTACACTGTTTTTCTAGGTTCATTAGGAGGGAGCTGGATTAGAAGTGTAGCAACCAGGATTCTAACCATTGTCCATATGAACTGTCTGTGGTGCAGGTGGCAGCTTAATCTGCTGTATCGCAATGCCTAGAAAAGACATATTTTACAGAGTGAGAGACAGAAAAATATTTCATCTTGCACTCTTCAAATGGCTGCAATAGCTGAAGCTATGTCAATCTGAAGCCATCAGCCAGGAACTTCTTCTGGGTTACCCAGGTGGATATAGGGTCCCAAGGCTTTGGGCCATCTTCAGCTGCTTTCCCAGAGCACAAGCACAGAGCTGGTTTCCATATGAGATCCTTGCGGCACTTGCAAGCAGAGGATTAACCAAATGATCCACTGTGTAGGTCCTACATGATGGCTCTTGTGCCACAGTGTTAAGAATTAGCAATACAGCTCATCAGTTTCCCAGGATAATGTGTAACAGTGGTGGAAGTTAGACAATGAGTCCCCAAATTAAAGAGAATAACTTGGAAAAATCCATAGCCTTAAAATCCAATAATGAATATTGATCTTCTTGGTTACATCTGGGGAATTTCGGTTTCATTTCATTAGAGAATCTAGAGGCTACTTCGCACAAGGTTTCATAAGGCAAAGACACATGTGCTTTCACCCTTCTTTCTTTGGACTTTATACTTGCAACATACTATCTCCAGTAATACTTCCAAAGCCAAGTTTAATTCTGCTTTGGCTGAGGAACTGCCATGTCCTACCCTTCTTTCAAGATAGTTAATACTTTCCCTTTCTGTAAGGTACTTTGAAAAAAAAGTTTTTTTTGAATAACACTTATTATCATGTGTGCTGTGTCTAGGCCTTGCCCATGGATTCTGGGCCAATGTGATAGTGGCAGTGGCAATTAGTAAGAGCATTAAGAATCCAATCTTGAAGATTCAACACAATCATCGTCAGTACATTTCCTACAAACACTTTCCTGACCTGCAGGCATTTGAGATAGTTCTTCTGTGACAAGTCTCAAAGCTTCTATTTTTAGCATAGCTTCCTCATCATAGCACCGAGCTCATTTCCTGACGACTGTTTTGCTTGCCTATCTGCTTATTCTTCTGTATTTTCAATGTCCACCACATAATGGAGTCTTAATGTATTTGTGTGAGTATATGTGTCTCTCTGTATTGGTAATAGGGAGATGTATAAGTAGGTGTGAGTTATAACTAGACTATACCTCCTGCAACATTAAAAATATATAATTAGAATATATACATAATAATGATAAAATTCTAAAGGAATTAAAGAACTAGATTTTTATGGAAAAGTACAAAGAATCAAAATGTACTGTAAAATTAAAACCTGAATGGTCTAATAATTTTAGATAAATTGATATGGCAGTCAAAGATCACTGCATTAAAAAAAAGTCACAGCCCCAGACAATTTACACATAAATTCCATAAGTTCCATTAAACATTCTCCAGAAAAGACAAAATTACTCTTTTAAAAATTACTTTTGCTGTTTTCCTCAAAACATTTTTTGTAGGTGTAGGGATTCTTTCCTCCTCCTCCTCTTCCTTCCCCGTGTTTCCCTCTTATCAAAAGAATTCCTTTTTGATTTTGTGATTTTATCTTACACTGATACCAAGAAAGGATAGAACAGTATAAGAATATTAAACTACATGGGTTTCACTTATGAGGCAAACATTAGAAATATTAGCAAAGAGAATTTCATAGCCTATTGAAAAATCTATCATGACAAAATAGGGTTTGTCACTGGAATAAAAAGATGACCTAATTTTTAAATTTATATCCTAAAGAGCCCACTATTATTAGTGTTAAAGGGAAAAGCACTCACATTGTATAAAAACTCTGCCTGTAATTATACAAATATCCTTCACTTAAGTAGATCTGAATGCTACAACATATTTGATGGTGGATGGTAAGGAATAATAGGGAATGCCATAGGAAAGTTATTAACCGAAGCAGTGACCACAGGAGAAACAGCAGGACACAGAGAGATGTACCAACCTAACGGAGAGCTCCAAGCAGTGTGCAGATCTCAGAAGTAATAGGCTAGGAAAAAAATAAGCCATGATGCTTTGGAGGCAAAAATGAAGGAATGGAATTGGATGAGAAAAAGTAGGCAGAAAATGAGAATCTAGAACATACCATCCAGGAATACTGTATTATCAGACCTATAGTCTTCAAAATAGCAAGTCACTGATTCATCCTCCCTAGTCAGTTCCATTAAGACACAGCTGGGCTGGACTAAATTTATCAAGTCATAACTGTAACTCCTATCTGAGTGCTGAATGCTCAGTAACTAACCATGGTCTGGCTACGTAATCACTTGCCCTCGCTTTTGCTCTTTCCAATATGGCAGCTACCATGATGTGAGGTAGCTAAGGGGGGAGGGAGGCTTACCACAGTGTTTGAGATTTCAGGTTCCAAAACTGTGAGCTAAACAGATCTCTTTTCTTTATGCACATCCCAGTCTCGTGTATTTTATTACAGCCACATTGAACTAAGTATGGCAAGGATTCACAGACAATTTGAGCATATGGGCTTTTGAATGTCTTAAGTGGAAATTCCTGATAAGAACACGATGAAAGCAACCCTCACAAGAAGTCAGGGATGCTCTGCTTGGAACGCAGATGTTCTGGAGCCCCAGCTAACTGTCTCCTCAACATGTCTTGTTGCTATATTCCACATCCACTGCAATTTTCAAATAGATGGTTTTCCCAGTGAAAAATTTATGTGGGAGAATGCCTTTTTATTAGAATAAAACAAAACAAACAAAAAACACTATCCATGTGGAATGGAGAAATGAGCATTTGCCCCAAAGAAGTCACCCAACATCAGATTGAAAAACTCTACGAAGTTTTGAGGTGCAAAGCAACTTCTGTTGTTTACGCTACAGATTACACAGTCTCTTGTTTTCCTCATGAGAAAAACCAGAGTTTATATCCAGAGTTCCAAATCCAGAAAATACAAGTGAAAGGTCCAGAGATACCACACTACCACTTTCCTGTCCCCCAACATTCATGATCAATATCTGATCAGCACCTGGAGAGTGGTTCATTGCTTATGGTTGGTAATGGCGTAATGCTCAGTCCATAGATACCACTAGGAATCACTTGACCTGTGCATCCTGTGGCTTAGACAAGTTGATACTGATGGGTTTATTTGCCAGTCCAGGGAATTAGAGTAGTTTTTGTGTTCTGGCTTTTTATCCTTCCTTCTGACCTCACTTTCTTGAGTGTTACTTGTGCGAATCCCATAGTGTGTGGCGTTTTCAGGTTGACTTCTTTGTGTAGTAATCCATATTAAAAGCTTCTCCACGCCGTCTCATGGCTTGACAGTTCTTTTCTATTTGGTGCTGATCAATGCTTATTTATGTCCATGTGCCCGAGGAGTGTCATCTTTGTTCATCTAGTCTAGCCTTTGGTGACTGCTGTGAGTAAACGTTTTGCCTAACACATTTTTTCCTTTGTCTTATGTTCCACGGACACCTCCTTTAAACTTTCTGGTTGCTTTATTTTTGATTCTCTAGTCATTTTATTACCCAAACAAAAACCATACCCTGGAGGGGAGATTAGTGATGGGGGTGGGGAACCCTGAGACGATGTTTTACACAGAAGCTTGGGGACTTCTATGGATAATTACCCATGTCCCACGTGACGAAAGAAAAAATAAATTTTAAGTAGGGTACAAAGCAGTTTTCTCCTAAAATGTGACAATGAAGAGATTAATCCTGGGTTTTGGGAGTGTCTGGGAAAAATCTTGCCTCCAGAATGCATTAGCTAAGTGTGTGGGTGGGGAGAGGAGGGGGTCATTCAATTTCATTCTAACATTGAAGGCAAGCTGGAGGAAAAAAAATGGAAGGAACAACAACAACAACAAAAAAAACGAAGCAGGATGATACAGTAGAGTGAGGCAATTGGGAGAAAAGAAAAGACAGAAACTTGTCATCCACAGGACTTTCTGAGCAAGATATTTTTCTTTTCTTTTACAAGTTAGCAGCTATTGAATAATTCATGGCAAGCGTGGAAAGGCTGTCTTTCCCCTCCGCTGATGTATCACTGAGCAGGAGAGAGCGTCAAGTGGGTTCACATCAGCCGCCGCTCTTGCCTCTGAGCACACGCAGGGTGCTCCCCTGAGCTCAGCTTTTCTGCTTCAGTAGCCCCGCATCTTTGCTCCTGCCTGCCCACCAGGCGTGCAGCCTGCTGCTAGACTCTCCCCTGCCGTGCAGCTGCTGGCTCCTGCCTGACCATGTGTGCGGGAACTACCAAGGAGAAGTGGGCACTTGCTCCTGGCACTGATCCCAGCTGAGGCTCTCCTGTTGCCTGCCGGACCACAGATGCTGCCGCTGAGGAGGTTATTTCTGGCACCCTTCCCTCTGCGAACGCCAGCTTAAGGACCAAAGGAAGGTACCCTCCACTGCTTGCCCCTGCCATTTGTCCCAGCTGAGGTATCTCTGCTTTCCCCTAGAAACCAGGGGCTCCAACAGGCAGTGTGTCCAACCGCGAGGGGTGTGTGCATGTGTGTTTATGAGTGTGTGTTTATGTGTTTGAGGGAGAAGAGGTCTGTGACCGTTCGTGGCTTCGCCGTGCCCCAGATCTTCCCGGTGCTTGTTGAACGCTAAGGGGTCTTTCTCCTGGCACTGGAGGCATTTCCCAGGCTGGCACCTGTCACCCGCCACCCCCGTTCTCCATGAACTCCTTCTCTGCCCACCCCCCACCCCGCCCGTGACTCTGCTCCAGTCCTTTGTGTCGGTGGCACAGGGCTAAAGGGTGCCTTCGCCCTCCCGCCAGGCAGGTGTCAGCATGGACCACGTCGCGAAGAGAAGCCGATGCTAGCGAGGGAGGTGTGAAGAGTTGGCCAGGATGACCAACTCCTCGTCCACGTCCACCTCCTCCACCACGGGGGGGTCGCTGCTGCTGCTCTGCGAGGAAGAGGAGTCGTGGGCGGGCCGGCGCATCCCCGTGTCGCTCCTGTATTCCGGGTTGGCCATCGGGGGCACGTTGGCCAACGGCATGGTCATCTATCTCGTGTCATCCTTTCGAAAGCTGCAGACCACTAGCAACGCTTTCATCGTCAACGGTTGCGCCGCCGACCTCAGCGTCTGCGCCCTCTGGATGCCGCAGGAGGCGGTGCTGGGGCTCCTGCCGGCGGGCTCTGCCGAGCCCCCCGCGGATTGGGACGGCGCCGGGGGCAGCTACCGCCTGCTGCGGGGCGGGCTGCTGGGCCTCGGGCTCACCGTGTCCCTCCTGTCCCACTGCCTCGTGGCCCTGAACCGCTACCTGCTCATCACCCGGACGCCCGCCACCTACCAGGTGCTGTACCAGCGGCGCCACACGGCGGGGATGCTGGCGCTGTCGTGGGCGCTCGCCCTGGGCCTCGTGCTGCTGCTCCCGCCCTGGGCGCCGCGGCCCGGTGCCTCGCCCCCTCGCGTCCACTACCCGGCGCTGCTGGCCGCCGCGGCCCTGCTGGCACAGACGGCTCTGCTGCTGCACTGCTACCTGGGCATCGTGCGCCGCGTGCGCGTCAGCGTCAAGCGGGTCAGCGTGCTCAACTTCCACCTGCTGCACCAGCTGCCCGGCTGCGCCGCCGCCGCCGCTGCCTTCCCTGCAGCCCCGCATGCTCCTGGCCCCGGCGGCGCCGCGCACCCAGCCCCAGCCCAGCCCCTGCCGCCCGCGCTGCAGCCGCGACGGGCGCAGCGGCGTCTCAGTGGCCTGTCCGTGCTGCTGCTCTGCTGCGTCTTCCTGCTGGCCACGCAGCCGCTGGTGTGGGTGAGCCTGGCCAGCGGCTTCTCGCTGCCAGTGCCGTGGGGCGTGCAGGCGGCCAGCTGGCTGCTCTGTTGCGCCCTGTCCGCGCTCAATCCGCTGCTCTACACTTGGAGGAACGAGGAGTTCCGGCGCTCCGTGCGCTCCGTCCTGCCCGGCGTCGGCGACGCGGCGGCCGCGGCTGTAGCCGCCACGGCCGTGCCCGCTGTGTCCCAGGCTCAGCTGGGCACCCGCGCTGCGGGCCAGCACTGGTGACCCTGCCCGGGCGCGCGGGCAGCAGAGATTGCCGCCTTCCGACGTCTTTGGCCACGACCGCCAAAGATTCTCCCACGGCGAAGTATCCCCTGCGCCCCCGAGAACGCTCCAACGATGAGGCCCCATAAACTTGGGTGAACATTTTGCCTCTGACCCCCGTGAGATTCCTGAACCAAAGTCTCCCTGAACAGGGGTTCCGCTAAGTCCTTCTGGACGGCCACCCGATTCTTTCCGTTTGTCTCTGGGTTTTAGACAAATCCTAAATGAAGGCAGTGCACGCTGGAGACTTTAAGAACTTGCAAACTGGAGTTTTAACTGAAGTGGTTAATTTATTTCAACAGTGTGTTTTTCAAAAAGTGCTTTTGTAAATTGTAACACTTCCCATCTTCATAGTCTTAGTACATATATGAGCGCTTTGAGTGTGTTTGAGTCGAAGGAAACAATTGAGGAAGGAAGTACTTGGTGAGAAGTGTTTTAGAAAACAACCTGTCTTGGATATTGCGCCTGATGTAAGTGGGCCTTTGTATATTCACACAGGAGGCTGAGGCCGCGCGCACGCACGCAGCACAGGATGAGCTGCCAGGAAGACTCGAAGCCCTTTATTTTTAAAAGGACTTTATAAAGTCATTGTCAAATAAGCATATTAGCCGACGAGAAAAAAGTTACTGAAATGAATTACTTCACACTTTTTTTTTTTTTGCATTTCTAAAACTGAAAATTTGTATTGGGGATTCTAGTGAAAGTTTCTAATTTGCTAAGGGAAGGCCTGAGCCAGCATTGGGATTTTGCAAAGGGGTACCTCATTGGGGTACCAGCTTCATGTTCTCTGTAGCATGCACACTTGTTGCTACCCTCACTCTGTAATCCATTTACTTGCCTTATAAATGTGACTGCAGCTTTGAACACTCTGTGCTATAATGATTGCTAAGGAAAAGAAATCCTTCTGTTTTCTCTTTGACATTGAAAATATCTCAATACACACTAATAACTAAACACTAATAATACCATGACTGCATACCTAATATTAGCTGCCATTGCATGCTCCTAGACGCTAGAACTTACTGGGCATGTGGTATACTAAAGCAGTACCTAATAGGAGACAAGGACATTTGACTTCTTCCAGACACCAGGAGAAATGACTGCCATTATTTGAAAAGGGACAGAGATACCTCTGGCTACTTAGAATTCTTGTTTCAATGGATTTATGAGTGCAATTCCCAGCTGGGACTTCATCTCATAAACGGAACCACAATCAAAGTGGAACAGCACGATGGTTTGGCTTTGCAAAGCCATCCTTACTGTGTTAGGGCTTAAATGAACCATACATTAGAATGCAACACTGTGTTTTATGTAGTTCGTGTAGATTACTGTAATACTTAACCGTGTGCCATATCTGTTGAAGGAGGTATAATAAGCTCTTACATAATGAACAGTCCGGAAGCGGATCTGCTCTGAACCGTGTTATCTGTGAGTTTTCCATTTTGTCTTCAACTTCATACCTTTATTTGGGAATATTTGAAATGCAAAATCATGTGAAAGCATCTCATAATATTAAAATGGGAAGAAAATAGCTTTAATATTTATATCAGTGCTATGACTGCTAATTACATCCAACCTGGGGTCAAATATTGTCAACTGACTGCATAATTTAGGAGCAAAAATAGCACTCTTGGACATTTTAAGTAAGAATATAAACAACACCTCTGAGTTTGAATAATCGTTGGGGTTGCAGGAGATTTGGATATTTTCAATAGTAAAATGAAAGAAATATGTCCTCACCAACAATAGAGCAGCAGTCATCTTATTACTCTCTCCCTTCTGTGCATGTACCATTTTTCTCTTATTAAGGTTTCACCTGTTACCATTTTCCTGGACTCAAATATTTAATTAAAGTTCACACAACCGTCGTCTGAGGTTTTTTTTTTTTCTCTTTTCCTTCTGTCTCTGAGTTTCTTGTACAGCTCCTCAGGAACGTTGCAACACAGGGTATGACATTCCCAAACACTGGCGACACCAGCAGTTCCGTTTATTTTTAGTTGTAAAAATTATTTTACTTTATGGCATCCAAGATAGTCTAACAATATTCTTAAAATTAATTATCATTCATATTGTTTTCCACAATGCAACTATATAGAAATAGGGATTTTCCCTTCCGTCGCTTTCTTCCCTCCATGTTTTTTCCCACATAGCTACTATTCCACCAATGGTTACAGTAGTATATATCTACCAGTGTTAATATATTTACAATGTAATATAACATATATGTGTATACAGAATACAATATTGATAGGGACTGGTATTGTGGCACAGTGGTTAAGCTGCTGCCTGCTATGCCAGCATCCCATATGAGCCCTGGTTAGAGTCTCAGCTTCTTTGTTTCTAATCCAACCTCTCGCTATTGTGTTTGTGGAGGACAGAAGAAGGTGACCCAAATGCTGTGCTACTGCAAGCTGCACTGGAGTCCAGATGGAGGTCTAGGCTCCTGACTTTTTAAAAAAACATTTATTTATTTTAATTGGAAAGGCAGATGTACAGAGAGGAGGAGAGACAGAGGAAAAGATCTTTCATCTGATGATTCACTCCCCAAGCGGCTGTAATGGCTTGGAGCTGAGCCAATCTGAAGCTAGGAGCCAGGAACTTCTTCCGGGTCTCCCACACAGGTGCAAGGTCCAAAAGCTTTGGGCCGTCCTTGACTGCCTTTCCAGGCCATAGGCAGTGGGTTGGATAGGAAGCAGGACATCCGGGATTAGAATCAGCGCCCATATAGGATCCCGGTGTCTTCAAGGTGAGGTCTTTAGCCACTAGGCTGTCATGCCAGGCCCAGCTCCTAACCTTGTTGTCACCATTTGGTTCACTTTGAATGAACCAGCAGATGAAAGAGCTTGCTCTCTTCAAATATACAAAAATGAAATAGCTCTTTAGAAAAAAAAAAAAAGAAGTAGAAGTCCTACAGCATACATATAGAGTGCTTTTTTCTGGGGTCAGCTCATTTTTCTGAATCTCCATCATAATAGTCATCTTTTAAATAGGGATTTATCCTCACTTCTCATTGTAGATGCTGCAAATAATTTCCCACTCTGATCCTATTTGTCATACATGCAAGCTTAGCTTTTTCAGGGTGTGCCTGGTCTCTTGCAATGTTTCTGTCAGCCCTGGGAAGGAGCTTACGCTGGCTCCATGTTGTAAGGAAGACCTACTTTAGATTAATTTACTGGTAATTAACTCCACAGGACTGATTCACTTTTAATTTCAAAGTAGCAATGATGTGTCTAAAAATGCCTTCTTAGGGCGCTAGCTGGAAATGTTGGAGTTACTGCTTTTACAAATTAAGTTAATGGAGATTGTGTCCTTGTTTAAATGAAACCACATATTATCCACTCAGGAATAAAAAAAAATGACAATTGCTCTTGTAGGCTGCCCTACTTTGCTTTCTTTACTTTTTTTCTCCCTGTAGTGTATGCCTGTTAAAACATGAAGCAGCCGCCACACTTGCTGGTGTATTTGAATGGCTAAATTCTAGACGTAGCTAGTATCACTCCTAGCACTTCCCTTCTTTGAAAATCAGGTGAATACAGAAGCATCCATAGATGTTCTTAGCCCTTAATGGCTATGGGGGAGTTTCCAGATCAGACACATTCCATTGTATCTCTGAGTCAGGGAGAAACAGTTTCTAGAGTGAGCTTGTGGTTCTATTCAAGAGAATCCAGTGGGAGGATGAATTGGAACTGAGAAAGAGAGAGGGACTTTAATTTTTGGTCAGATCTACTTTGCAGTAGACTATTGGTCTGCTTTGAACTTCGAGTACAGGAGATCACTGCTTCATGCATGAGCTTTGTATCTTCTCCCAGGGTCTGGCGCGGTGCGCGTGTGGCTGTTTTGGCAGTCCTCTGAGCTGACTTGACAAAGGGCAGCAGTGACATACATTCAAATATGGGCATATTGATAAAAACGATAGATATCTCTTACTTTTGAAGCCTGTCCTTAAGATTTGTAAGTTGTGGGATAAGAGAGGAGGTCCGCATGGAGCTCCTGGTCTGTGGGAACAAGGGGGATATTTTCTCTCTCTCTCTCGCTCTCAATACCTGTAAGAGCCCTGTGCACCTGAGTGCTACTCAGTCCATAGATCCCAGCTCCATCCACCTTTGTCTTGTTGTTGGTCATCTTACCCACTTCTGGGATCTTGTAATACGGGTACAGAAGCCAGCGAATGCCTTGTAGGTGACATGCAGACATTTGGGCAGAAAAATCCTGGGTTCTGGGTACCAGCATATTTCTCAGGACTTCTCTCTGTGTTGGAGGAGTGGTCAGATGAGGGTAGAGGCAGGTTTTGGTTTTTTAATAAAATAATTATTTGAAAGAGAGAGCATGCTTCCATTTGCTAGTTCACTTCCTAAATACCCACCTTGGGTAAGTCTAGGTCAGGTCAAGGCAGGTCTCTCATATGGGAACTAGGGACCCCACTTCTTAAGCCATCATTGCTGTGTTTCAGGGTCTGCCTTACCAGGAACTGGACTCAGGCACTTTAATGTCAAGTGAGAGTCTTTTTTTTTTTTTTTAAGATTTATTTATTTTTATTGGAAAGTCAGATACACAGAGAGGAGGAGAGACAGAGAGGAACGTCTTCTGGCCAAGGATTCACTCCTTAAGTGGCCAAAATGGTCAGAACTGAGCCGATCCGAAGCCAGGAGCCAGGAGCCAGGAGCTGCTTCCACACATGTCTTCCACACATGTGCATGGTCCCAAGGCTTTGGGCCGTCCTTGACTGCTTTCCCAGGCCATAAGCAGGGAGCCGGATGGGAAGTGAAGTGACTGAGATTAGAACTGGCACCCACATGGGATCCTGGTGCATGCAAGGTGAGGTCCTTAGCCACTAGGCTACAATCCTGGGACCTTGTGAGAGTCTTAATCAGCATCTAACCCACTAGACTAAATGCTCACATTTAGAAATGGACCCTTTAAGGCATGAGGTTGAGTTGGGATTCCAGTTTCTCTAAGGGCAACATTGCTCTCACTACTGATTCGTTTCTTGTATTTTTTTTTTAAGAGATT